AGAGCTCAGGGTTGTGGAGAGACAACGACAAACGATACAAAAGCTGACGGAAATGTTGATAAAACAGTTATTTTTCACTGCAGAATGTAAAGTAAGGTTCTACGGTGTAGCTAGTTCATAGTTGTGTGCTAAGGAGGACCCGTTCAACAAAATACGTCGTGTGAAAGCTCGCCGAAGCTGGTGAGTCATAACAAGAAATAAATAAACTACGCCATTAGCAAACAATGCTAAAGGGGATTTAGGATAGTGTTAGTCAAGGGAGCAGTGCAGTTAGCGTTGGCTTACTCTTAAGGAGTTAATGCAAGCTGTGTGTGTGTGCAATTACTCAGGTATTAACCGGTAGCTGGTAAACATGGACGTTTTGTCAGTCATGTCTTTGCACTAGTTTCATCATTTTTATTTACAAAAAGAAGGATACAAGTTGAACTCTGTTTTATATCTTCCATTCTTTAATATCAATTTGGGACAACTTCTGTGTAAGTGTAGTAGATTGTAGTGTTTATTGTGAAGGTTAATTATAATAAAAGTTTTTACATTGAATGATGTACGCATTTTTTCCGAGAGAATTGATTTTGTGCTTGTATTCATAATTGTCCTGCAAGGCAATTTTTAAATGACAGTAAGTTCTGGCTTTGCATCATGCAAGGCGGGTTTGTCAGTTTGATTGGTAGTGAGCCCAACTAGTTAAGGGGATTTTCTTACCTCGGTGATAGGAAGGTGCACCCCAACAGTTGTACACTGGATTATAGTTGGATTTAATGAGGAACTGGAATGTGTTTACGTTCGGGGGGAAAATATCAATAGTATAAAACTGTTTTTCATCGGGAACATTGCTTATGCGCCTGATATGGAATTTTGTACATGGAAACTGATGTGTGACCAAAAAAGCCCTATGCTCCTTCCTCATTACCAGTACGAATATATTGCTTCTCAGGGAAAAGTAAGAGTGTTGATGTTAATGTTGGCTATATTTTACTGTAACTGTGATAGTGATTTTACTCTAAGAGCTGCGTTTCATTTTCATAGCCGTGACCATGCCGTAACAATATTGGTCGCAGAACAAGATTTTTGCAGAGTTGTCCAATATTAATATTCTGTTTGCCGAATAGGTTTCTTAAACAGTGGTGATTGAGGCTTGTGTTTCATAAGCGTTTGGGTCTTTGTGTGTGTGTGTGTGTGTGTGTGTGTGAAAAAGAGGGTGAGCACAGTGAAACTTGCACTTACGTTGTACGTTTGTGTGTGAAAGTCCAGTGTTTATGTGTATCTGCTCATGTGACAGCTGGGTAGAGAGCTGAATATAATGTGATATTAAGCAGGTTTTGATTGTGTAGTGCATGATGAAATGACAGTTTGTATTCAAAATCAAACAAAGGAACTTGAGGAGCTGCTCACAGCTGCAGAAAAACAAACTCTAGCTGGAGGAGAATATCACTCGAGAAACACCTCAGAAAATAAAGTATTTAACCGTTGGAAAAACCTTATCTTTTTTATACGAAATACAATTTGGCAGAAAAAAGGAAGCAAAATATAAATTTTAGAGATGCCCCCATCATGGTTTTTTTGCTGCCGATACCAGTTGCTGATCCATTTGTTGTAACTAATAGAATATATACTCTTAGTATGTAATATAGAATTGAGACACAGTCGGTTTGTTAATTGAATAAGTGTGCCTGAAACAAGTGCTTACACACGGTAAGAGGATCAGATGAGCATGTCTGTGTGCGAGTATCCATGGGTTTTATCAATAGGGCCTCCAAACATGACAAAACAATTAGTACAATACAGTATCCTACTGTGCAGCAAACACACAGGGTTTTGGTAATGGAGAGCCTGAGCCATGGTGAATGTAAATGGCTGCTGTCACCAAAGCTACACAGTATCCTCCACTACTCACTCTCTCTAACGTTCGCTCTCTCTCTCTCACCCACTCTCTCTCTCTCTCTCCCCCATGTAAGGCTCGTTAATTACATGCCAATTCAACACAGTGGAGATGGAGAGACTCAGCCCTCTTTTTTTCCCCCAGTACACACACACACACCGCACACACTTAAAAATATATCATCAAGAAATAAGAGACGAGAGGAGTGGAGTTGGCATTGACGAAGAGGAAGAAGTCGGGAATGGAGGAGAGAGAGGAGGGAAAGGGAGCAAAGAGGAGTGAAGGGATTTCTCCTCTTTGGAGCTGAAATCAATGTGTGAGATAAGGCTGTTTTAGGTTTCTATCAGATGATGCAGAGGATCATTGCCTCACAATGGGAAGGCTTACCCCATTGCTGTGTCAGCAGGCTCCGATTACACCGGCTTTTTGTTGTGTTTCAAACAATTTCATCATGCTCCCCCCCTCACACTTTAGCACTTGGTATGCAATGCAGCACTGGCAATTTGTACGTGTTTGGATTCCAATTATGGAGTTGTTAAAGCTTTTTTCGCCTGTGGCCTGCAAATTCTTATTAAGCCATACATTAAAGAGCACAGAATCACATTTAAATGGAGTTCATGTTTCCCTTTTGTTTGCCAGTGTTGTGGTTTATTATTAATTTATTCTCAATGCCCGATGCATTACACAAATGAATTGTGTTTGTGATTGTGATGCAAAATACTTGTTGCTTATTCAGAGATAGGGCCAGCGTTTGTCAAGTAAACCAACAACAACAAGCCCAGAGAGAGTGAAAAAGAGAGAAAACAAGCACCAAAATGGAGCCATTCCCTCCTATTACCCTCAGCCATTTGAGAAACAAACAAACCCAAAACAACAATGACATTTCCGCAGTCTTGGAATTTTCTATTTTTTTTTTTTTTTTTACAAGCTGAAGAGAGAGAGGGAATGAGACAGCAGTGTGAGTGATTGAATGATTTGGCTGGTGGCCATCGGAAATCATTAGGTTAGGGTTGCTGGGACAAGGCAGGCTATGAGGAGGGCTGCACCGCGACACCAATGCTACAGTCAGCCACCTCAAAGGTCACAACCCTGGACAGACTCCATCACTATCTGTCTTTCTCATACTTAAAGGCATGGCAGGGTGCAGACCGACTGTCCCAAACAGAAGGCGGAGCTTCATGGAATGGTCTTATCCTTTCTGTATATACAAGGGGAGGTTTGCAGCCACATGAACGCATTTGGCGACACCTTAGGCTTAAAGCATCAATGCAAAACAGGTTACGGGTCAATAAATGGATCAGTGACTGACATGACATTTTAGCCATCCTTTTTGATGCAGTCCTGAGGAGGTTACAGTGGCGACATAGCCAAAGTGCAAGGGTCACTGAAATGGCATTAAAAGATACACATGAACGAGCACACGACAAAAATGGATGGTGAATGTTTAGAGTGGTTAAAGTGATCTCATATGCAACAAGGAAAACGAATTTGAATATTGTCTGTGTAAAGACTCTTAATACATCACCGCCCACTGAATACATTTGGCTGTTGAAATGAGATCCAAAATGCAGTGGCTGCTAATAAACCATCTTCAGAGTGGCAGAAATATGATGCATGGTAACCCATATGAACCTCATTAATAGAACACAAGCAAATCTATTTATTCAGAGAGTCAGGGGGAAAATGATTGGCTCAATACTCCATCTGGTTTCTCTCCACCTCTCGTCCTCCCTGCCTCTTCTCTCCTCTTTTCTCTTCTGCTCTTTTCTTCTCTTCTTTATGTATTCAGTGATTTTGACAGATGTGGTGTGTGTGTGTGTGTGCACGCATGGCAGCACTCACCCTGGAGAGTTTTAACACCCCCTCCCGTCCTCCCTTCTTCTCTGACACTATCTCCCTCCTTTTCCTCCATCCCTACGCTGATCTCATCCCTTCTTTGCCCCCCCCCCCCCCCCCCCCCCTCCCCCCCCCCCCCCCCCCACCCAATACTCTCCTGCAGTTTCTTTTGTCTCCGCTGCTGTCACAACTGTTCAGGGTGGGGACGCTGGCCAGGCTACTAGGAGCTTTTGACAGGACATGGCACTAGGGATGGGGAGGCTGGACAGGCCTGGCAATTCATCCAAAGAATTCTCAGCTCATCTCCTACCTTTTTTATTGTGGTTTTGTTTTTTTCTCCTCTCCACTTGCCATATGTAGCCTGATTCCTTGCCCCGTTTTCATTGTTTTCACTAACTCACGAGACCCTGCACGTTCAATTTCTGCACATAAGAAATCATTATATTTAGAGATGCCAGTTTTCACCTGATTGGCTATGATCGGGGACCGGCCGGTCAGTCTCATATTTTCATATTTTGCCCGTCGTATTTAAAGATGTGTGCTGCTGCCGCATGATGGTTGTAACGCGGCACAGACTGTAATGTCACAGACACACAACATGTCTCGGTGTGGAAGTTCTTCAGCGAGACTGAAGAAGACATAAAGCTCGCAATCTGTCACAACTGCAAGTCGTGGAAAAATAAGCCGTGGAGAAACAACCGTAAAACCATTTGTAACAAATAACTTAATCACTTATTATATTGTAGTTCATTCCCATAAATGCTGCACAGAATAATTGCAGTTACCAGCTCGTCTGTCGACAGCACAGTGCTAAACAGCTAACATTGACGGAGGTAGCTTACAATATTTAAATAAAACTACTAAAGCCAAGAACTTTAACAAAGTCAAATGAAAACATTCAGAATTTTTGGTTGGTTTGGTTGGATGATTTACATATTTTGTTCTGGGATTGTTGGTGAAAAAAGTTACACTCTAGGCTTGTTGTAAGTTATAGTTCTTAGAAAGAAAATCTAAATCTGCACATCAGTTTTAAAAAAAAATCGGAAATCCGGAAAATTGCAATCGGTACATCTTTAATATTGAAACAGCTCAAACATTCTATTTGAAATGCTTTGTAATTGTATCACTGTCCTAATATTCTTAGTTGATATTTCCTTGAAAGTCCTGCGTCTTTTTTGTAATATTTTAAAAATATTTTCTACATTGTTTTTGTTTGTTTGATTCAGATTTTGTTCTGTTTAGTGTAATCCTAATAACGTTGCTATGTGGTGTGGCTCTGTTGCAGGTTGCGCATTCCTCACCTACTGCGCCCGAGAGTCGGCCATCAAAGCCCAGAACGCCCTCCATGAACAGAAAACACTGCCAGGGGTAAGTGTCTGTCTCTCGGTCTGTCTCTCTCTCCTCCTCTTCTCACTCTCGCCCGTCTCTCTCTATGGTGGTCGGCCATGCCATCTGCACCCGGCCGCACACCAGCCGGCGTGCTCCTCGTACAGTCCCAGAGATGAAAAACACGTTGGACAGCATTCAATCAATAGCTCAGCCTTTTGAAGGCCCAGTTGCAACTTTTCCATGTGTCCGTTCTCCAGGCGATATTGCCAGCATTGATTAGACGCACTCAGACTCACACTTATGAAGCAATAGCATAAAATGAATGGAAATTTATCTGGTCTGGCTTGAATAAAACCCCCGAAAAACTGAATCCGTCAGCACGTTAGCGTGCTGTTTACTACAGAGTCGTTTTGTAACCCAAACCGACGTCAATATCTTCCCCTACCTGAGTCCCCTCTGCTCTGCTCCGTGTGTGTGTGTGTGTGTGTGTGTGTGTGTGTGTTTGTGGCGAGCCTAAGCCCTGCACTCGGCGAAACACGAGAGCAGAAGATCGTAATGAACGTGTGAAATTTTAGCAGCGGCGCTCATCATTTTGAATGCATAATGAATATAGAGGAAACACTGAATTTGTGTTATTGTTTTAGTGTAAATGCATTTCCGAGTGAGTATGTACACCTGTGCATAGCTGCATCTGTGAGATCCTCACAAGTGTGGAAAGAATGTAGAGGTGGCTCCCCACAGAGGCAGTGCGGCTTAACATGGTCAGATCAAGCCTGCACCGGGGAGGAACATAAGTAAAGATCCCCTCCCCTCTCCTTACCCCCAACCCTTGGATAGGAGACACAGAGCATGAGAAACCCAGCCAAAAGGCACATGTTTCTGTTAAACATGCAAATGCAACTACCACAAACTTTGAACATTTTTCTGGTGGCTTTCATGAAAAACAAGTTGTTTCGTTTATCCTGCAAATTAGCCGAGCGCGAGACTGGAGGGCGCTATTTTCCTGCTTTTTCCTCTGCATTTGAATAATAACACGGAAGACAGAGAAAGGGGGAAAAGTTATTTCACATAATGCCAGAGGATGTGTTCATGAGAGTTTATAACAGTGTTCAGCAATATGTTAAAAAAGGAGGAATCTCTGATTATTTCACTGTTTTTGTCCATAGTCTGGCTTTCTAGTACGCTTCTCTGTCACGTCTCATAGTCATTAATAACATCCCCGCCTGCCAGATTGGCAGGAAGACCGTAAGGGTTGACCTACCTCTGGGATTAAATGGTTGATGTGGCCGAATGTATAAATGAGGGGCATGAGGGCACAGACATAAACGCTAACAAGTCTGATGCTCTTGCCTGCACACTCTCCTTTTCTTCGGGTGCGTTTCGTAAATCCAATCTGATGCTTAAAACACCTAAATGACTGAGTGCTGTTGTTCGAAGAAACGGAGCCTTTATTTCTGTATGAATTAACACATAGGTACGATAAAATGGATGAAAGAAAAACTTTCCTATCGATGTCTCTTGTGCAAGAGCTTGTTGCCAGTGAGGATGACGATGATTATGATGAGACGTCAGACTGTAACAACATGCATATGAAAATACGTTTTAAAACGTTGACAATAGCTAACGTTAGCAGAAACCCAGTTAGCTTAGCTAAAGGTTTTATTAAATATTATGCCAAACAAGTAACTTTCACACATTGACGCTTTGCCCAGAGTACGTTCTGCTGCTCTGAGAGTGCGGTTCTCTGAATGACCGAAGGGTACGTTCCAACAGCGCTTCAAATTTACAAACGGTCCAGTTTGTGCCAGAGTGACCATTAACAAAGGCACCCCTAGTGTGTTCTTAGAGAGGAGCAGATCTCCAAATCATCTGTGCTCTGGAAGGTTGAACAATAACCTGAATAGAGTTCTGTAAACATAATTACTGTACACAGTATCACTTAAAGGCTCTCAATTTGAAATTCAGAGCGGAGGGATTGCCTCCACACAGCTCTCAACATGAAGACGGCTGAGCCGGCGGCTGGCAGGTAGTGGTGCTAACATCGCAGTGATGACAGAGCTAAAAGCGCTAACCTGGTGAGAACCGGAGGGTGAGTGTTACGCTTCCACGACGACGATCCGGACGGCGTTATCAGCGGTAACTGCCATTCGAGCACAGTGCAGAGCGGCGGTGATTAACATGCATGTTTCTTTTAACATGAATGTGAATGGTTTTATCCATTCACGGTTATCAAATAACATCAAAGACTGCAGTTAATCATAAACACAGTGGTTGTATAGATATGAATGGTGATGACACGGCAAAAAAGTCGCAACCACGATGCATGGTAAATGAGCTTTACAGGGTGCCGTAAAGCTCACGGTTGAAACTGCGAGTCCACCCTCATCCCGGGCCTCTCCAAGCCGATCTGGAGCCGGGCCTGGCGCACTGTCACGGAGAGAGGTCCCACGAGGGGATCGTCCCACAACGAGCAGCCGTCCCTGACCCGCCGAGATTGAAGTGCAAAAACATTTCCAGTTCATTATGAACGAAGGGCCTGGACTGTCGAGGTAATTAATGTGAAACACTGAAGGTTATAACATGACTACGAAGACCTGCAAGTTATTATATTCAATCGGAGCGAATGAGACGAGTGGCGGGAAGACAGCAATGCGGGCACTGCAGCAGTGTGTGCAGGTGTGTGTATCAGGTGGCTGTCGGAGAGAATAGAGAGAGGGAGAAAGTGCAGCTGGTTCAGTTGTATCGATAGTGCGGAGAAGTATGTACTAATGTATCGATGAACGACTGTTCCAAATCTTGAGTCGAGTCTAAAGTCTTTTGAGGATGAGTCGCAAGTCACTGTATGCGCAGAATCGAGTACCCATCTTTGACATGCACACACAAGTTCAGTAACTTTGCCTAAAATAAAATAAAACCCCTTGTACCTTTCAGTCCCGCTTCAGCCCCCCTGCTGTCTTCTCCAGCGATGTCCACCCCACATCCTCCCCCGGCTCCCCTCTGTCCCTTTGCTCCGGCGCCGCTGCTCTTCCTGAGACAGTAGCGTGTCATAGAAATGTAACAGCCAGACGTTGATGGGTGTCAGGCCTCACAGACGAGGCTGCTCTGCTGTTCCTATTCCTTCAGCTTCACTCACACACACACACACACAACAAGGAAACAGAGTGCATGCTATACTACAGCATCCACACTTAACACAAGCAGCTACAACACTAGCTAATCACAATTAGAGTAGCTTGTCAGGGTCCCTAAACATCCCATAGACCCTGCTCACCTATTAATGAACCAACAGCTGGGGAGAGATGTATTCAACAATTTAATTTAAAGAAAGAACATATCATCTGACACATTTTACAACAAATGCCATGCCGCATTGGGCTTTGTGTGTTTCTTTATGTGTGTAAAAATAAATGTGTTTGTGCATTTGACTGCCTCCCATCGTCTCTCCTGTCCCTCTCTCTTGAGCCTCCATGCTCCTAAATCTTTTGTGATATGACCCCTGTTGCTTCACTGCTTGATGGTAAGTAGATATGCCAGTTGTTTGTTTGCAAAATCCTGCTTGATATGCAGTTTGCCAGGGGCTACGCTGTAATTAATGTAAACTACGAATCCTCCAGAGATGAGTTACGAGTTATTAACGTCTGCGTTTTTGTCGTTAACCCCTGCATTGCTGCTCAGCTTGGAACAGTGTGGTTACCTGCTTATCTTTTACTTTAAATGTTTTGAATTAATTATTGAATTAAAATAACCACCAAAATCCTGCTGGACTTTGCTCATTGCTAATGAGTAGAACCATGTATGAAAAGTGTAAAACCTAACTCATGCAGAGCCCTTTGCTTGAACACAGAGCAACAACAAGACTACCCGCATACACATGGACACCAACATGCACACACTTTATGAGCTGGAGCTCTTCAGCAGCTGGAAGGCTTGTTCACACCCTGTCTGTGTGTGTGTGCGTGTGTGTGTGCTGTGATGTCCCTGGGCAAGAGCAAATATTTCAAATACTTTAAAGTAGTAATAACCCATACGATTTCACCCATGGTTGATTTGCTATCACCTGTGGTTTCTGTTGGTAATGGAACGTGCGTTTTAAAATCCACAGTCCAGTTCGAGTGTCGAGAGGATTTGAGTTTTAATACACTACAAACATGTTTTCCAATGTGGTACTCGCGACCAAACGTTTCCTTCGTCTTCCATGTCACTTCTGGTACGTATACGTGGATCGTTTTCTTTGATTCACTTGTGTGTGTGTATGTACTTGAAATCCTCTGCAGGAAAGGTTTGCTCCTCCAAAACAATAGAAACTACTAAATAGAGAGGCAATTACAGAATGCTAACAAATTGGATTTATATTGTTGAAAAAATGGGTTTGGGTGGTAGTTTAAGCCTTAAAGATTCTAACTTAAAGGACTGCATTTTAACTTTTAAGTTACTTTAAGTATTAAATGATTGTTATACAGTGCGCTATGTTTGTGTACACTATGCACTAGTTGCCACACACACAAATACACACACAGACCCAGTTTCCTCTTATTATCGGTAAGAAGTGCTTGTTTTCTCGGATGTTATTATCCATGTCCCCCTGTTACACATTAGCTGCTAACAATATGGCCTAATGGAAGTGTACTGGACTGGAATATAGATTCCTGCGGTGAGGTGTGATGGGAACCTTGGGGACACGAGTGCCTGACATAAGTTTGGCCACCGAATAGGAGAAGCTCTGACAGTTTACCAGGTGTGTGTTGCTTGGCCCTATTATCTGTGTATGTTTGTGTTTGTGTGGTAAGCTGGCTTTGCATCGCAGCCAGCCCTATGTAGATACAGATAGCAGAGTGTAAAGGTGGGAAGAAAAACATGTGCACATGGCATCTTGCCGTGATCACGCACCGCCCACGACAGTGAGGCTCGAATACATTATTTGTTTGCTGTTTCGTGCGTGTTTGCTGCTGATGGCGATGCACTACTTTTTATATTACATAACCATACAAGTGCTTTTGTCTATGTGAATACATGCTTGCATGTTTTCTCTTACTAAGCAT